TTTTAACCAAAGAGAGGTACGCCACCCTCTTTTTGTCCTCAATATTTTGTCTTAAAAAAAATATAGGTGGCCTTTCGTGGAGAAACCCTAGATAAAAAGTTTGCTGTATTTTTGAAGGAAGAAGAGAGGCTTACCTTAAAGTGCAATCAACTCCCAAGATCAGCCCTATTTTGTTTCCATAGGGCGTGTATAAACCCTAGTTTATTTTTTGCGCTTTCTAAAACCATAGAGAAAGAATTATTGCCTACAAAGCTTCGCTATCTAAGAATTTTCGGCAGCACCTTAAGGAGCAAAAGTGCACCATTGGTCAAAGAATCGGGTGTGGGGTGAACCAAGTCCAGGTAGTGTAACTCAGTAAGACTTCCCATTAGTTTTTATTTATTTTCAATATTATTTTCTATTTTCTGTAAATTTTCAAGAAATTATTTTGTGCCAAAATTTGTAATAAAAGTTAGTTTAAAGTTCTTGGATATTTTCTATTTCTCTCAGTAAAAAATAAATATCCTAGGTTGTATCTAGGGCATTGTTTTAATTTTCTAGCAACACATTGTGATCCATATAAGTAGAATTTAGGTATTTGAAATAAAAGTAAATGATTTTTTTTTTGAATTTAATACATCTTTCATTGGTATCAGAGCTTCTATATTTTATTGCCATAGTTTAGGAGTTTTTATTTTTATTTGGTCTAAGAAACATGACTTGAAAAGGTTTGTTGGCTGAATTTATTAAAACTGAAAAATTTTATGGTAAAAACTATCTTAGTTGGAAGAGAAAAATAGGTTATGTCCTCTTTGAAGAAGGATTTAGGCAAATGCTTACTGAAGAACCCCAATTTGTCCCAAGAGGTAATGCTTATGAAAGGTAAGCCATAAGAGAAGCTCATCCTCAGTGGGAGTGCAAAAACACTCTAGCAAAATATGTGCTACTTATGGTGATTGATGACTCCCATGGTTTTAAGTATGAGTCTTAGTGAACTCACGGCTGCACAAGTCAAGCCAGTTGAAAACATGCAGATCTGCCAGTTGCTGAATTCTATGCCGAGCTCATGGCTAAAGCTTCATTTCAGGCCTTACGGCAAGGGAGAGCATGCCGAAGTTGGACAAGATCATCACCCAACTTAAAACCGAAGAAGAAAGGAGATTTTCTCGCGATACTTCAGCCTTGAATGACTCCATAAATGTGGTAAACCTTAAATCCAACTCTGGTTCATTCAAGAAGAAGAAAGGCAAAGGAAAGAATAAGAACAAAACGAATGAGAATCAAGAAGGGAACAATGAGCCTAAGACAAAGAAGGATTCTAAGAATACCCAATGTTTTATTTACAAGAAATTTGGGCACATTGCTAAGTGTTGCAAAGCACCCAAGAATGCGAATCCCGAACGCGATAGGGAGCATGCTTGTATAGTCTTAGAGACTATGCTAGCCGACCCTAAAGTAGGGTCACGGCGTTTTGACTCATGGTCCACTGCCCATGTGTTAAACACCGAGGATGGATAGAGAAATTTCGAGCCTGTTGCCTCTGGGGATCAGTATATCTATACGGGTGGAAATCAAAACACTGAAATTCTGGGTGTTGGAGATTTCATCCTTCAACTTGAAAATGACAAAAGCATGGTCCTAAAACAAACTTTTTATGCTCCTGAGATGAGGAAGAGTTTGGTTTCGGTCGCTAAATTGGCTGAGGCTGGCTACTTCACTATTTTTACTAGTAATAAGGTGGAGGTGAAATGTGGAGATGAACTAGTTGTGAATGGTCATCTTGCAGAAGGTTTCTTTTCAGTTGCAATAAAGAATTCCATTTCTTCAATCTTGTGTTATAATAATAACAATGACGCATATATATAGTGCATGAGACTAGGGCACATACATCCTAAAAGGATGGGAGATTAAAGAGAGAGTGATTATAGAGTAATCTAAATGAAGGCTTAATGAATGTGATTACTATTCAAGGAAAAGCTGTTTTAGAAATTCTTTTTGAAAAGCATAGAGAGGTATTGGCATTTTAAAGGTTATCCATAGTGATATTTATGGACCAATGAATGTGGGCACTAAGGGCCGCAAGAGGTACTTTATCACATTAAAACATGATCACTCCCATTTAGGCCATGTCTATCTGTTAAGTGAAGAAAAAAAATTTGAAGCCCCAGATTGGTTCAAAGAGTATAAAATCACGATAGAACCCCAAACCAGGAGGACTATTGTATATATGTCAAGGTCAGTGGGAGTGACATGGTTTTCATCACTTTATATGTGAATGACATGTTAATTGTCAGTACTTCGATTGGAAACAAAAGCTTTCTTGTCACATAATGGACCTTTGAGAAGCCATGCAGAGAATTCCATACAAAAGTGCAATTGGGTCACTAATGTACACTATGTCAGGGATAAGACTCGTTTTTTCTATTTCCATGAGTTATGATTAGTAAGTTTTAGAATAATCCAGACATGGAGCACTAGAAGGCCATCAAACGAGTACTATGACTTTTTAGGGGAACCGTTAATTACGCACTCACTTATGGAGGAGGCTTGGACATACAGATACAAGGATATTCAGATGTGAACTATCAGGGTGATCCAGATGAGAGTAAGTCCACATTCGGATATATCTTCACGCTCGCAAGTGGAGCTGTTTCTTGGTGCTCAAAGAAACAGGATATAGTTGTGCTCTTGACTACGGAGTCAGAGTATGTGGCATGTTGTTTTGCGGCTAAAAGAAGCAGTATGGTCGAAGAAGGTCGTAAATCAACTCATATTTGATCCATTAAGGTGCCCTTGTGTTAGAATCTTCTGCGACAACCAGACAGATATTTATATGACAAAATAGCCAAGACTTCACAAGAAATCAAGACATATAAACTTTGATTGTTTAAAGCCTCAGCTCTATATAAACTTTTTCCATGAAATATTTGTTATAAATTATGTCCCTTTACTCTCAAACTTGCATTGTAGATATCGTTCCATGAATCTTGAATCTATGTTATCTGCTTATACTTGGGCATTTCCCGTAAGCGATGCGCTGTACCACAACCTGGGTACAAAGAGAAATGAGCAAGGGTTAGCTAGGGCGTTCCCTAAAAGCAACATGTGGTAGCATCTCCTGGTTGCGCTGAAAAATAGGCAATAGATTCCCGAGGCATTCTATGGAAAAGATATAGGGAGTTATGGTCTTACTAAGGGTATGACCTTGATAGAGTATAATGGCACACTAGTATTCGTGTAGCCGACCCTAAATAGTTGGGAAAAGTCTTTGATGATGATGATGATAGTATCATTCATAAAACAATAGGTAACGAGGGAATTAACATGGTTGACCTTCTGGGACCATTACTTCCAAAGGCTTAACAAAAGGTTACGCATGTTTCTCATGGAGTCACTATCTTAATCCCATGACAGCCTGCATCACAGTGAGACAATTGGTCATGTTAGTTGACTGTTAATTATCAAAGAAAAAAGGACAATTGGTTCTGTAAGGTCAATTTCAGTTGTTAGCTACTAAGGCATTCTTGATATTTTGAAATGATCACCGTTTTGATGCCAATTGCAATCCTGAAGGATTGCCATAAAATTTCTTGATGTATGACACTAGTTTTTTTGAAACTATTTACTATTGTATAAGTAAAAGTTTTACAAGGTATAAAAAAATAGGCTTCCCACAACTCGGGTGCTCTATATAAAAACCACCAAGAAGTTGATAGAGGTAAAAAATGCTATACAGCCATGTAAATACAAAAACACAAGGACCAATAAACCAAACATCAATGATCACTAAGCTGCTGCCAGTGTTGCTCATTTCCTTAGCAAGAGTGTCGGCCATGTGTTTCACCTCTCTCCAGATGTGCACGCATGAGATGGATATATGTCAAGGCGATACTTGTGACGAAGCACAACTTGCCACAGATGGCCCTCTTGGGAGGCCAAATGCCACCACGATTTGCCACCAGAATGGTTGATGAACAGTGCAGATAAATTTTCTTTCGCTTTTTTTATGACAAGGTGTCTTATACATTAAACTCAGAAATTACAGCACACTTTATGATGTGAACTTCCCACTAGCCATATGTAAGGAGTAGTCCCTGAATATCATGTCACAGTTTTTTATGCACTGTGCAGAACTTGTATAACACAATCATGTACGTTGAAAGAATTTCCATTCTGATATAAAATTATAAACTGCCTAGTAGCTATATATAAAGTACGGTCTCTTGAATCAATATTGCATATGATGGTTTTTTAGAGAAACGCTTCTCATGCATTATGCCCCCTTACGTAATATAATCACAATACACTCTCTGATGTGAACTGAGTTCTCTTGAATCCTTGGCATGTCTTGAATGTTTCATCGGAAGGTTTTCTATACATCGCACTCTCTTTGCCAAAAGAATTAAAATACAATCTCTGACATAATGTGGCTACTAGCTAAATATTAAGAGTTGTCTCTTGAATTGGCTTCCCATGCAATAAACTCATTTGTCTAAAAGAAATTACAATATATTCTCTGATTGTAAACTCTCTACAAGCTATATTTAAAAGAGTAGTCTCTTGAATCAATAGAATGTCATGATTTTTATTATACACTACACTGATTAACGTGAAATAATTATAAGCTCTTTTATGTAAACTGCATATTGGTCTAAGAAGGGTGAAGACTTTACACTTTCTGTTTACCCGTCCTATACCCCGGTAAAGGGGCTGGGTTGTGTTAGGTAGGTAGCCAACGTAAAACTTTTCCAAAACTTATCATGTCAACTGCATATGGGCTATATGTAAAGAGTAGTCCCTTGAATCAGCACAATATCATGATTTTTATATGAGAAGGCTTCTCAGATAATACACTTGTCGACCTAAAAGAATTGCTATACATGAACTCCCTACTAGCTTTTTATAAAGAGTAGTCTCTCAGATTGATAGATTTTTATACCTACCTAATCCTTTTGGTTTGTAAAGAGAGCTCTCTTGAATCAGTAGCAAGTTGTTTCTACCTAATCTGACTGTTCTTACAGGCTCAACAACATTCTGAGGAAATTGATCGGCATGGAACCCAGATGTTAGAAAAGGAGCAATGTCACAAAGCATTGATGCAGTCTCAAAGGACTGTCTATGAAGCGACTATCACTGAGCTCCAAGATTGGATTACACAAATGCATTAGCACATGAGGTGTTTCTTCAATCTTAGGAGTCAAGTTGATTGCAGAGATTGATGATCTTAATCGTTGCCTCATGGAAATAAAAAAGACCACGGTCCAAAATCTCACCTTTATCTTTTACAGTATATAGCATGTACTAAACACAAGGGCCATCCACCATCCTGCTTGTTGACAGATCGTGGAAATGAACCATAGTTCCATTTAACGAAGAATTTTGGATTGTGAAGTTGGAGAAGTGTTCATCTCCACCTCCATCTTCAATAGTGGATGGTCGATGGCCCTTTATGTGGGGTGTAACATACATAAACTATGATAGAGTATATATGTTGCAAAGAGTTTGTAAAGAGTTTTCCTTTAACTTGACTGAAATCTGTGTAACCATGGATCATAGATGTTGCAAAGAGTTTGTTGAAATTTGGATGGGATAAAAATTTGCATTGGGATAAAAGGTAGTTTAGGCTGAGAAGAAACATAGAAATTGCAATGAGTTTAGCCTGAAAAACCACCAGGCCAGTTTTGGGTTAGGATGATTGCCCACTGTCAATTTCTGGTCGATGTTTGAGAACCCAAGGTGATCAATGGCTGGGTTTGCCCATGATGTTTTCAGATCAGTAGGGTTTTGGCGGGTAAGAGTTGCAATGGCTAGGGTAGAGAGGTCATTTAGAAAGAGGAAGGAAGGTAAGTCATTTTAGAGAGAGATGGAGAAAGCCATGGGGCTGTAGATCAGTGGTGGCATTGTGGTTTCTCTCTCTCTTCTCCCTCTCTTCATTATTAGAGACAGAGGTGTTCTTTTGGTGTGACTGGTGTAGCGCGAGTATTGTGATGACAAGCCATTTATGGCTTTTCTTTTTCTTTTGCTTTTATTTTATAGGCAATTTATATTTTTTTCTTGTTTTTTGATAAAATTTTACCAATTTATATCTATGCCTCCAAATATTTGATTCACGTTTCTCCTCTTTCTTCATGAAAATTCCTTGTATGTTGATTGAGATGATACGAGTGACAACCTTGGGTCCTTGACTCCTTACTCTTCTATGACTCTACCTCTCTCTCTCTCTCTCCCTCCTCACCTTCTTTAGCACCTTTATACATATCCTCTTATCTTTTGAGGTCCCATGGTTGCCTCACTGATCAAACTAGCCAAATTAAGCACAAATTAACAGTGGTGTATTTGGGGCTGTAAGTACTTGGACCAAGTTCTCTCCCTGCACTCTTCCCCTTCTCTGTAATGCTTGTGGAGATAAGACCATGCTAGATAGAGGTGTGGTGTGCACACATGCACGCAAACACACACACACACACAGAGAGAGAGAGAGAGAGAGAGAGAGAGAGAGAGAGAGTTTATGGGAAATGGAAAGACATGGAGGTAATGGGTAAAAGAGACGGGGAGAAAGAGAGAGCTGGTTGGAGAAATGATATAGCAAGCTATTTATTTGAGAAATGTTTTAGAGATAAAGATGGGAGAGTAACGTGCTCGATAGAGAGAGTTCCTATTCATGGTGGTGGCGGGCCACATCAAAGCAAGGCAGTCAAACTGGAAAAGATAAAAGAGATAAAGATCGGGATAGGACTTTTATGCAGAGGAGAGGAGAGAGGGTGGGGAAATATTGGAATGTGGCAGAGGAAGAAAGGAGAAAGGAATTGTGAGGCTTAAAACTAACTTTCAAAGGATAATATTTGAGAGAAAAAAGCCACCTTTTCCGCTTGGGTCTTATGGGGCTCGATACCATACCAGCCACCTTTTGTACTTGGGTCCATGCCAAGATCTCTCGCTCGAAGTCAGGTTCATCCCAAGCATCCTGCTCGACCAACTATTTGTTCTTTGGATCTAAATCTTTCACAGATATGGGGTCTTCAATTTGAAACCTCTCTAGATCGCACTCCTTCGGCCTCTGATTATAGTGAAAGAAAACCAGGTCATTCAGTCTCTTCTGGTCGAGTCTATTTCTCTTCTTTATATGTACTTGTTTCATATTGCATCATTGCACCATTAGAATTTGTTACTTAAAAACAATGTCCAGAAAATTAGTGTAATTAATTGATAGGAGATGGGGGTAAATGGAAAATTTACCATTTCGAATATGATGAAGTTGTGATCGCAGCTGGACGATGTGCAAGTCAAGTTCAAAATCCACTGCGTCATCCTTTGCAAGTTGGGGCCAGTTTGTCTTTGGTTGTCCCACCAAGAGGCCATAGTACATTTAAAAATGAAAATAAGTAGAGTACATACATATGAACAAACTTATAATTTAAAAAATTAGATTCAAGTTAAATATAAAATAAGGAATAAGAATTTAAATGACAAATATATCTTCAACTTACGTGGATGTAGTTTAAAGGTGGGGCTATGTAGAACAAGGTGTTAAAGTAAAAAAAAATTCTTTTATTTTTATTTTAAATACCTGAATTCCATTTACGTGGGCCACAATATGTTGCAAGAAAATTAAAGATACAACCTAAGATTTTTATTTTTATTGTTAAGAAAAATAGAAACTATTTAGAAACTTTAAACTAACTTCGGCTACAATTTTTAGCACAATATAAGTTCCTGAAAATTTACAAAAAATAAAAAATAATACTCAAAATAAATAAAAATTAATGGGAAGACTTATTGGAAGATGCCTGTGGTACAGCCCACACCCGATTCCCTGACCAATAACGCACTTTTTCTCTAAAGATATTTCTGGATATTCTTAGATAGGGAAGCTTTGTAGGCAATACTTCTTTTTCTAGGGTTTTAAAAATCTCAAAAATAAAGTAGGGTTTATAGAAACCCTATCGGAACAAAATATTGTTGAATCTGTGAGTTTACCTCTCTCTAGGCTAGGCTTCTCTATTCTTTCTTCAAAATACAACAAACCCTTGACCTAAGGTTTCCCTAGAGGAACTCCTATATTTTCTTTAAGACAAAATAGAGGAGAGAGATGTTGGCATGCCTCTCTATGGTTAAAAAGAGGGGGGCACGTGGCTTCAAATTTTCTTGGAGGTAGAGAAGATATTTTGGCATGGAGAAAAGAGAGAACTATTTGGGGCGTGAGAAAGAGAATCATTCTATGAGAGAGAGATATTGTAATCAGTTTGAAAAATGTTCAAAATTGGTCCTTTTATTGAAGAAAATCTATCTCTTAACTGAATTATATTTCTTCTAAGTACTGCATTATCTAGATTACAGCTACATCTTTTAGGATAAATAAGAAATCTGTAGGGCGATAGATTACTCAGAGCCATTCATCCTAAAAATCAGCTATCATGATTTTGGGTGGAAAGATAGGAATCTTATCACTTTACACTTTGAATCCAACTCCTATTTAAAATTTAAATCCAATCAAATTTAAATTTTATCTAGATTTTCCATTTTAATTTGAAATACAATCAAACTTAAATATTATCTAGATTTCTAGATCTCCCATAAAGATGGTAGATCTAAATTTTAAATTAATCCCTTTAGAATAGGAAATCAAATCTTATTTCAAATTATATTTGCTTATCTTAAAACAAAATTGAACCAAAACATTAAGAAAGTGGGGTGTGCCCCCTTCTCCTAAATAAGTGGCATGCCACTTATTTGAACATGAACGAATTTTTCTCAAGAAAATGGGGCGTAACCCCTAGTTCCACAAAAAGTGGTGTGGAGGTTTAACTTTGTTCCTAAAAAAAATAGTGTGCGCCAAAATTTTTAGACAAATGCTTTTTAAGAAAGGTGGGGCGTGCCCCCTTGATTGCAAAAAAAGTGGCATGTCACTTTTGCTGAAAAGAATTGGGTGTGGCTCCTAGGGTGCACATGTTCCTGTCTTAAAAAAAGGTGACACACATGTGGGGCTGGATCCTTCGTCCCACATGTATTATTGTAGTTCTAAAATTTCAAAAATACCCTTTTAACAAAATTACTTTAGAAATAATATTTTTAAAATTCTGAAAAAATAATTTAAAAAACAAAAAATATTTATAATATCAAAATAAAACGTATTAGGAGTGGATTGATACCAATGGATCAAAATAAGCAACAATAAGGGCACGCCACATGCTCTGGAAATCATGATCCACAACTATTCACTTATCTAACCCAAGAAAGTCCCATAACCCACAGTCTCTTTGCAGGGTCTCATGATTGGTTTGTCAAAGTTGGATAATGAACAGTAGAACCATGATCTTGTGGATTTCAGTTCCCCCTGTAAGAGCAAGTCATTACAACGCAAAGGAGGCTCTCTCAATGCACATGTACACGTGTTCCTCTATAGGGCTGCTTCCCATACGGCTATCATATGTACATGTTGTGCGGAACTGTGTTGAGTCTTTGGCCATTCCTCTCACGGGCTTATAACCGCATACATGAGACCACACAGTTCTTCTGGCCTATAAACGTGATCCCTAAGCGTTTCTTTGACCTCAACAAGGGATGACCCACTGCAAGCCCTTCTCGGTCGTACCACATGCCCAAGGCTAAGGGTTTTGGACATGACTAGGGCCATAAATCGCCAACCCTTGGTCAGTCACCACACAAAACTCCCACTGAAGTGTATATTCCATTATAAATATCAATTTTACAAGTTCTCTAGTCCTTTAAAGGCAACAAAACTCACACTTGGCCTTTGAAGGCTATACAATCACTTCCTTTCAATTTATTTCAAGCCCCATCCCATGTAGATGTTTGACAAAAACATTTGCCATCAATACTTTTGCCAAAGGATCCGCTAACATGGCCTCTCTCGAGAGATATGCAATTTGAATCTCTCTTGCTCAGATCTCATTGCAAATGTGGTATAGCACAGCTTTATATGCCTCGATTTCATGTGAAACCCCAATTCTTTGACACGCAAATAACTGCATGGTTGTCTCAGAAGATTCAGACGCACATGCTCTTTACTGGATCAAATCGGAGTTGATTCAAGAACTTCTTCAACCAGACTGCGTTTTTAGCTGTGAAGCAACATGCTACATACTTTGACTCCATTGTCGAGAGTGTGACAATATCCTCTTTCTTTGAGCACCAAGAAACAAGTCCACTTGCAAGCGTGAAGATATATCTGGATGTGGACTTACTCTCATCTGGTTTGCCCTGATAGTCCGCATCAGAATATCCTTATCTATATATCTGAGTCTCCTCCATAAATGAGTGTGTAATAATGGTTCCCTTCAAATATTGCAGTACTCTTTTGATGGCCTTGCAATACGCCTTACTTGGATTACTCTGGAGTCTGCTAATCAAACTCATGGCAAAGGATAAACTCGTTCCTTTCCCTGACATAGCATACATTAGTGACCAAATTGCGCTTCTATATGGAATTCTCTGCATGGCTTCCTTTTTTTCTGAAGTAGTGGGACACATGGCTAGGCTAAGCTTGGTCTTCTTATCAACGGGCGTGAGGAATATTCTCCATCCCTATTTGATCTAAGGACTTTAATTTTCCGATTTGTTGGGGTTTCTACCTTAGCTTTATACTCTTGAAC